GATAAGAGGAATGACTCCATCTTTGAGTTTATTTGGATTGACGACCAAAAAGTGGAATTTCGACGAATTGTTTGTATTTTTAGCGATCTTTATATAAAATGTTTATCAAATATAATTTGCTTATTAGGCAAACATGAAAGAACTTCTCAATTGTTTTGGCAATTCATCAATCATTGGCACGAATGAAGGTATAACTCATTCAATGAGCACTTCTTCGAGCACTTCAAACACTCCATCCACGGCTTCCACCACTTCTTCCACTACTTCCTCGACTTTTACCACTATTTCTACCACTTCTGTCACTACTATTATTTCGGTCACTACTTCTAAAGCACTTCCCAACCCAAATGACACGTACTATGAAATAGAAATACCTGTAAACGACACGACTATAGGGGTGACAACACCGCCGGAAGAATCCAAAGGGACAACACTATCAGAGGTTGTATTAATTGAAAACTCTAGTAACCCTCAGAATACGACACTAAAAGATATGCTCCACAAACTCAATCAGAAGCCCAAAGATCCTAAAGAGTTGACGCCTTTCTATGTGTTCGCTATTATACTGATATTTATCGTAATTGTGATATTAATTGTTATTATCATCCGTAAGTCATTTGGGAAATGTCTCTATATTTGAGTCTAAGTTTAAAAATAAATTTTCATTCATAGGCAGGAAAACGATGACAAGAATCGTGTATTTGAACTCAAGATCAGAAGACTTGAAATCCGCAGAAATTCCGTTAAATAATAATAACAAGAATTCAAACTCAAAGGATGTTTGAGTTGTAAAGCGATGCCATATATTGAGTTTAATAATGTAATTAAAGTTTTTGCTTTTTGTTTATAAATAAGTTAAATACCATTTAAAGTGAAATACTTATGATTCATAATCAATGACATAACGTATTGTATTTTCATTAGAGCTTTGTATTTAAAATTCACATTTATAAACTTATTTATAAAAATGAATACTAGAGATGATTACTCTATTTTTTAAATAGAGTTCTGATTACTAGTAATGTAATGTATTGTATTCTGATAATAAACTTAGTACATATTTTTATTAACTAAGAGAAAATCATTTTTACCACATTATATTTTTATATTTAATTTTATATTTAACTTGAATAGTTTAGTAATAATTTTCTAAACATTATTTCTATAACACATATACGTATATAACTTTATTATGTGCTGTATTTCATCATGAATTTGAAAAATACTTTATTTCATATGTTGTATAAAAGATTACCAGTACACAATAATTATTAATCTCATTTATCTTAAGCTAATGCTTACATTAAATTTAAAGAATTACATGATAAAAATTTTATTGTTTTATTTAAGTATTAATGTAATAAATACAGTTTGAAAGGGAACTCCAGTCATAGATTACTTGGTCTTACAGTTGGCCACAAACTTGGAGACACATCGGCCGAGTTTTTCACTAAATTCAGTCATCGGACGGCATTTGTTGAGACGGGCCCTCCCGTTGACACACATGTAATAACTGCTACAATCGTTAGGGTTTCCAAAATTGCCGAAATGTTGGGGACAAACGAACTCTTCCTTTTCCTCTTCAGTTTCAGTACATTTGAGTTTGCATTCAATTGCAGCCCAAACCACACATACTGTCAACAAAGTCAATGTAAATCTCATTTTTAATATTTTATAAATGGTTTAACTTTGTTTCAATTACTTTTAGTGTGTAATTAGCTATAAATTAGAATTTCTATGTAAGCGCTTTATATAGTTTTTTGTTGCTGATGATTTGATACAAATTAAAGGTATTTTACTTATTTATTACACTAATTCCGTAAACAACTATTACAATGTTTTTCTTAAACTAAATTTGTTTAGACTTTGATTCATTTGAGTAATTTAGAGATTCAAAGCTCACAATAAGGTATTTTCCAAAAACACATTCAAGTCATTAATAAAACAATTTGTATCATATAAAAGTTGACAAATAATAAATGTTTATAATGTTTATAATGTAACTAGTAATATCTTTTACAGAAAGTATTATAATAATATATTGTATTTTATACATAGCGCTAAATTATGATAATAAAAGTAAAATAAATTTTATGTTAGTTATTAAAATACATTAATTTTATTGCAAATAATTCCCTAAATTATATCATAAATAGCCTGAAAATTGTTTATTACATGTACTAGTACAGTATCATAAATATCATACGATATTTTGAACAATAAAATATGAATTAAGTTCTTATTAATTTTGTTTTGTATTTATTTAATATTAGGCTAAATATTCTTACTCGTTGACAACAAAATGATATTATGTTACATAAATAGAAATTTGAAATTTAAAAAATCTTAAAATTTATAATAAAAGCTTCTTAATAAAATATTTAATTAATTTCTTAAAGAATTTATTATAATTTATTTATTATAACATAAGAAAATATAAAAAATTTATGTTTATTTAGCAAAAAATGGTGCAATAATAAGTACAATGTATTTCGTGTCAATAAACCATTTATTGAATATTTGATTAAATTGTTTGTTTGAAAAATATTTAAACGAATGCACAAATAGTGAGAAGAAATCATACAAAACAATAATAATAATACTAATAATAACAACAATTATTACAGTTAACAATAAATGCTTTTCCAAACCTTAAGAAAAAATTACATAATATTTATGCGTAAGTAAAAAGAGAATGAATTAAATATTCATCGGTTATAATGAGGACAATGAATAGAAAAGTGCAGTCGAGTGACACACTAAAAGTTAATTAACAAAGATTCAATTATTAAAAGTAATTAGAAATTACTGAACAATAATTAGTTAAGAATATAATTTAGTACAGAGAGAGAGAGAGAGAGAGAGAGAGAGAGAGAGAATTAGTTCAGATTTGAGATGATTTGTTTGAGCGACAGAAACTTTTATAGATTTAAATTAAAATCAATTATTTACAAAACAATAAATAGTGTTTTAGTTCATAAGAATTGGAAAATATTTTTAAACAAAAGAATTATTTAATAATTAAATATTAATAATATTCTAATTATGAGAGAAAGAAAGAAAGAAAGAGAGAGAGAGAGAGAGAGAGAAGTTGAAGAGGGGGAGAGAGAGTAAAGTCAAGAATTGTTACATAAATAAAATATTTGCTTAAGAAAAGCATTTAAACTTTTTCTGTGACTGTGTTTTATGGTCTTTGCTCTCAATGAAGAAGTCAGTGATCCATCGCTTTTAAAGTTTGAAATACATATGAATTTTGAAAGTATATTAATAGAGAAATACATTTTTGGTGCTTAAAAGGCGTTCGTTAGGCTCAGAGACGGTGACAGTGACACACATTTCCCATTACAACACATTATTTTTCACAGAAAAAACTATATTAGAGTTTAAAAACTTATTAATTATAATCAGAGAGTTTTAATGAGAGAGAAAAATAATAAAACAAATTATTGTTTTTACTTTAAAAATAAAAGACTTTTAAATAATGTGAAGTGAAAAACAGTTTTACAATTAAAAGTTATATGAGATTATAGGACCCAATAACTAAAATATTATTTTAGTATACATCACAAGTGGACTAATAGTCGGCCTCTTAATAAAGTTATTAAAGAAAATAATTGAGAAAATAAAATGTTTATTATTTACAATAAGTTACAGAAAAAAATATATAATTTCTTAAGGGATGGTTGGATTAGCGTATAATAGTCTAAAAGCAATACGTTTTAAGACATTAAATAAAAAAAACTAGTTTTAACTACTCGTTGTATAAAACACACAAAAATTAGAGACAAAGACTATAATTTTGTTTTGTTTTCAGGGAAAAAGTTGACAAAATTTCACTTGAAATTAAAAAATATATCAAAAATATGTATATAAAATAAAGAGATCACATGTAATCATGGAATTTAACGATTAATTAGAAATTCTTATACCTTTCCATTAAATTGAAAGAAAAACTTTTTTGTGTTGGCTTTACGTTAATGAGAGGACTATATGACAAAATTTGGATTAACTTTTGGATACAACAAAAGGATACTTATATTTGGATTGCATTTGATATACTAAACAAATCACATCTATCTCTGATATCCGGATGAGTACTCGTCTCCACTGTTCTGCTCGACGGGCTCTCCATTGTAGGCGCTGTCGGACATGTGGTTCTCGACGTGTCCGCCGCCACTCATACCCCCGTAGCCGCCGCTATAGCCGTTCCCACCGTACGCTGGATTAGGCACACCATAGCCACCCATCTGCGAGTCGTGGTTGTAGTCGTGATAGTCGTGATGAACGCTATTATTATGGTTTAAAACACAAAATAGTTATTTATTTTTAGTATTTATGCGCCAATTGTGTGAAATATGAGACTATATTCTGTGACATTTAATTATAAGAAAAATGTCTACAATTTCATGCTCTAAATTATTTAAAATGTTTTCCCATCGAAAAATACAATTTATGACATTTTATATATAAATTGATCCCTTTTTAACACTAAATAAACAGTAGCGTTTTTTAATGACCACTTGATTATTAAACGTGATTATATGCTATAATTAGATATATTTGGCTTTGTTTCACAATACCTTGAGATATTTGTTGAGAGAATTTTTAATAAATGACATTTAAATCACCCTAAATATAGTTAATTATTTGAATTTACAAAAGCTTAAAATATGATTAATTAAAGTTTTATTTGTTTAATGAAAAGTTTTACACACTAAACAGCTTCAGTTATAATAGTGTTTTATAGTAAGCTTATAATAATTAAAATACAAAAATATCGTAATTGAGAGCAAACAAGTTGAATAAATTTGCAAATTCTTATCATTAAAAAAAGATTCACTGCATATCATGCATAATCTTAAATGAAAAGTATGCTAAAAATCAATTTATAAAAAACGTTATGATATTAATGATACAATTTGTTTATCTAATCCATAATAAGATCAAATAATTGCTATAAAAACCGGTAATTTATAAAACCGCTAAAACAGATAACTCTAACGGAGTTAATAATTAAAATTAAGAGTCAATTTAGATAACATGGAGATAATAGAGACACATTAGTGCTAAAGTTGTGATTTATTTACCCTTTTGTCTCATAATATTTTGATGTAAAGAAAATTTATCGCTTATATCACGAATTAATGCCATTTAAGAGATTTATCATTTATAATAAATATTAATTCTTTAAATTAAAATATGGTTAACAATTATAATCAATTTAAATCACTATAATTGCAAAATTACAGCTAAATTAATGGAAGTTCTTGAATTAAATAAAAAGGTTAATTCTGTTNAGATTTATCATTTATAATAAATATTAATTCTTTAAATTAAAATATGGTTAACAATTATAATCAATTTAAATCACTATAATTGCAAAATTACAGCTAAATTAATGGAAGTTCTTGAATTAAATAAAAAGGTTAATTCTGTTGATTAAAAATAATTTATTAAATTCTGTACTGTGTATATATTAGGCACAATTAATTAAATGTTCACTAAATCATTTATGATGGCAATGATTACATTAAATTATTGAATTTGTTTAAGGAATAATAAATCATAACAATGATTTATATAAAAATAGTAAATTGAATGTAAAATTCAAATAGAAAACAATAAAATAAAGCAATGAATGAGTGGTTCACTTACGGCATCATATGTGAAGCCGACGAATACGTGGACCGGATTGGACTCAATTGACTTAATTGCGGAAAACTTGAGCCAATACTTCCCGAC